TGTGTGTGTGTGTGTGTGATGTGGCCGGTTTAAGTTTGAGCCCCATACCGAGAGCAGCTGTGTGTATGTGTGTGTGAGCAAGCGTGTGTGCCTCCACAATGAAACATTTATTCGTATTAGTTTGTGATAACAAGTCGAGGCATTACTTAGGACTTACCCCCACCAGCATTTCACCTCCGTGTCCATCACTCAAACCATTTGTGAACACATTGATCCTTCCCTCCCCCCCCATCCCCTCCTCCTCTCCCATGCTGTATATTCCCAGGGTTTGGAAGGAGAGCCAGAATGGCTCAGACAGCAATTGATTTTTATTTTATTGGTCTACTAGTGGAAAGAGGTGGGATAGGGGAGGGCCTGAGAGATGCAACTCCGCAGCTAAGTTTGCTCTTAGTGGGCTGTGTGTGTGTGTGTGTGTGTGTGTGTGTGTGTGTGTGTGTGTGTGTGTGTGTGTGTGTGTGTGTGTGTGTGTGTGTGTGTCTCCAGGTGGGATGGGCCTATCTGCTTATGTCTGTCTCACAGAGAATGTTTTTGTTTTGGGGTAGGGGCTGTTGTCTTTCCGTCTGTCTGAAGGGTGTGTGTGTGTGTGTGTGTGTGTGTTCATGTCCAGCCACCTCTGTGAGCCATCAAAAGCTGCATGTCTGTGTTCACATGTGTCAGACACACACACACACACATGCGTGTGTCATTTAAGGTATTGGGGGAATCTGAGGTGCTGATGGAGCTGGCACTAGGGACTTGGACCTCAACACACACACACACACACTCTCTCTCACACGCACGCACGCACGCACGCACACACACACACATAGCTGAGGTGTATCCCGGTGCTCATTAGAGCTGGTAATAAGGCTGTGCTGCTGGAAAAGGAGGGAAAAAACAGGGAAAGGAAGAGAGGGAGGGAGGAAGAGGGTGGGAAGGGAGAAAAAGGAAAAAAAAAAAGGGAGATTTTAAATTTTAATAACACTGGTACGATTTTGTAAATCTTTCCTGACAGAAAAGTCCTCATTATTTTCATCTGTCTCCGAGGAGCCTCTCCAGCTTTGCCTCCCCGGGTAAACGGACCTTTCGCGCTCTCCCTCTTTCTCCTCTTTCTCTCCACCTCTCTATTGCTTTTTCCACACTTTCTGTCTTTCAGCTGCTTTGTTGTCTGTTTCCGATCTTTGTGACTCTCTCTCTCTCTCTCTGAATATTTCAGCCTCTCTTAGATTAGTGCTGTAAATCTGTTTATTTCCTTTTAGTAAGGTGTTAGCTGACTGGCTGTCTGCGATGAAGGAACATAAGGAGCCAATAGCATTTCCAGTACTATGTGCTGTGATTGGCTGACATTTTAGTTAGAGTTACTGTTGGTCTGTTTTCGTGAGAGTGTTTCTTTTTTCCCCCCCACCGTACCGGGGCACCGACACAGGAAAATACTTGAGGATCATAGTATCAGGTATCAAACTCACTGTGTGTAGGAGTGTGCATATGTGGGTCAGCAGATACACCCTTGTACCTGCGGTCTTTGCGTCACTCACACATCCCCAAATCCTTCCCTCCACTTACGCGCGCACACACACACACACACACACACACACACACACTCCTAGCCCCCCTCCACCTCTATGTCAAGTGTCAAAACTGGAGGATGGATCCGGTTTGATAAGTTCTGTTCTGTCTGGCCACGTGTCAGGGCGGGATCAACTATATAGCAGAGGAAAACCATGTTCTTCACTCTCCTACCTCCCAGTTTTGGGGATTTTTTTTTTTACTTCTCTTTTTTGGGAGTATTGGGGTGTGGATATTTTTAGGGTAGGTTTTATTGTAGTTGTTTCTGGTAGCTTTAGTACCTTATTTGACTTGTTAGCTTATTATAAAAGGAAAAAAAAACAAAGAAAAAAATAGTTTGACGTATGAAATTTCATCAGTTTGTGTGGTTTTGTTTCAAATGGATGAAGAATAATTTCCCCATCCTCTGTAAAATTTAACCAAGTAGTCATTTTCCAGCCTTCTTAGGTCTGCAGTGGTTAAAAGAGTGTGATGGCTGACTTTCATGTCCCACTGCTCATATGTCAGTGGGGAAAACTGTGGCTCTTTACAGTGTCACAGACACTATTTTTCAAACAGTTTTCAACATCAGTGAAGTGATTTATGACGGCACCTCCACACACTAATTCCTCCAATCTGTCTAGCTAGATCTGTGTGTATGTGTGTGTGTGTGTGTGTGTGTGTGTGTGCGGGCCCCCCTTCAGGTCATCTGGTCTAAATTGACCTTTGGTCGTAAGCTTTGCAGGATCTTCTCGGTCTGTGTGAACTATTGCAAGCATTAAAGTAAAGATGTACTGTTTATGGCTCCCCCTCCAAGTTTCTGATTGGCTGCCTCTTGCAAACAGAAGCACCTGAGGTTAAAATATTGGGAATATCCCTGCTCTATGACATCAGAAAGATTTGAGTGGAAAAAAACTTGCCTGTGTGTGTGTGTGTGTGTGTGTGTGTGTGTGTGTGTCAGAAAAAGAGGAAAAAGCATTAACATTTTTGGACGGGCCACTCCTAAAATTTATATCCATCTTCTCTTTAAAGGTTGGAGTTGCCATATGTGCTGCTTTACATTTATACTTCCAAGACACGTTTTGTTAGATTGGTGCACAGAGGATCAGTTAAGGTCAAAATAATGCATTTTAAAAAAAGATGTGTCCCCAGAGGGGGAGGGAAAAAAACTTCTTAAACCGCAGCACTGTCATATTCCTTACTGCTTTGAACATTTAAGTGTTTGAAGTTATTCCACGTTGTTTGCTACCAAATCAGACTCCTTTAATAAATGCCGCTTTAACAGAATTGAACCCCCCTCCATGAGGCTAAAACTAACTTTATGTTCATTTCTCCACTGCAAGCCTCTACTAGCCCCCCCCCCCCTCCCCCTCCCTTTTTTTTCTTCTTTTCACCCCAGCTGAAAAATTAGCACAACACAAAGCGAGCTGGCTTCTTCTAACACACTGCCACAGATACACACACACACACACAAGCGCCTCCTCTGGGTATTTGACTGGGATAAATAATCATTGTAAATAATGAATGTCAATTAATAGGGGGAGACGTGTCCTTGCTAAGCATGCTCTGATTAGTGTTTCACTGGGATCTCTTCCCCCAGCTGGCTTCAGCCAATCATGTCAGCCTCATCCAAAACACCAGAATAAAACTGGCCTATCACAACATATGATATCATCTAATACTGCCTCAGCTTATAGGCATATGGCAAATATAGTATTATCTGTCACTATTCTTTTTACAATTTTTTTTTTTACCTCAGCAGTGAGGTAAAAAATGCCACGTGTGGGTGTGTGTGGGGTGGGGGAGGGATACCATAGCTGTTGCTTATGTTGTTCGGGACATGGTTTGCTATAAACAATATGACAGTGTCATAATAATGTATGCATTTATTCAAGGATAAACTGTCTACTTATAAAGCAGTGCTGCTTACACACAGTAGTTGTAATGAGCTCTCTGGTGTTAGCGAGAGCATTACAGCATTACTGGAAAGAAGTTCATGGCGATTGGTTATATATTGTTTTTAGTTTGTAACAGTATCCTCTGAATCTCATATAAAGCAGTTGATAAAATTTGTTGTTATGCGGCCGAGAGTCTTTTTGCAAAAGGAAATACAAAGATGTAAAGCATCAAAGCTTGTCTGTGGGATTTTTGTCATCCTTCCCTTCAATAGCTTCATCAGTTCTGCGCTTTAAGCTAAGCAAACGGTCGAGACTTTTGCCAGGCGGGCTGGTGGACCAGAGGGAGGCCGCGAGCTCGACTGGTGTGTCAGCTCAGACTTGGAGTTTAGAGGGTAGCTGGGTGACTGAGCAACCAGCCAGCACCCTCCCCTCCCTCGGTGATAAATGGCCACAGCATGGGCTATTCATCTCCTGCTTAGAGAAGTGGACAGTGCCCCCCTGCTCGGCCTCTCCTCCACCCCTCCACATGTCAGCAAATGTGATAATTCTCTCATTTGTCAGGAGCAGTGGAGGGTTTGGAATCCGTGTGTGTGTGTCTGAGTGAGTGCATGTGTGCTGATGCAAACTCTGGAGAATTTGGGGGACACATGCTAGATAAGTTGCTCACTTACCAGATGCCTTGCTCTGCACATCTTCACTCCATTCCTCATCTGGTACTTTTGTGATTTTTATTTATTTATTTATTTATTTGGGGGGGGGGGGGGTTTCAAAGCCCCCACTCCCCCACACCAACTTTACTTCGGTCACAGTGGGAAAATTTAAATGAGCAAATGAGTGAGTCGTTTTATGGCAAATTCCATCAGTAATTCAGCGATTTTTTTTTTTTATTACCTTCAGGAAACTACTGAGCCACTTTTTCCACTTTATTGTGCAAATAAAGTTTAAGAGCCTGTCAGCTATTTGTGTGCGTGTGTGTATATGTTTGCATGTCATGCTTGTTTATAAGTGTGTTGGTCTCTTTTGCATTTGTATGTTCATGTCGGTACACAAATCAGCGTTGTTGTTTTTCACAGAGGGTACACATATGTAAGCAAATCACTCTTATCACGATTGTTTTATTCAGTCACGCTGTGGTTTTATGACGTGTGCCAGCGAGTGTATAGCGATTTAAAAACCAAGCGTTCAGACCTCATGGTAACAATTAAACAGGATCAGGCTCCAGTTGACTTTTCTCCGTAGACCCGCGAACCTTTTCCTAATCCTTCTCTGTTCTTTCTCTCTGCAGGATCATCCAGAATCGGGTCCTGGTCTTCATCCTCGGAGCCATCATCCTCCTCACCATCATCCTGGCCATCTATTTTAATGTGCGAGGCCACTGATCTCCCCTGTACGCACATGCATATATACACACACACACACTCCCTCCCCCTAAACGCAAATACACACACACTCTCTTGTGATTAATAGCGACAAAAGCGTTGTTCTGCTGTAATTAGGACAAATGGTCCCCATGAATCACTATTTCCAAAGCCTGACAGCAAGCTTTTTTTTTTTTTTTTTTACCATTTCTCACTCCTTTTTTTGTTTGCAGTTTCTTTCCCTTTTTTCTCCCGTTCTCCTTCTTCCCTTTTACTCTCTTTTTCTCTTTCACTTTCTTCTCCTTCCCCCCTCCTCCTCTGCCTGTCAGGCTCGTTCTTACATCTCCAGGGACTAGAACGGGGTGAGATGTTTTTATAATAGTTAATATTTTTCATGGTGTCGTCCTCAGCGTGGTTTGCAACCTGGTCATTTTTTTTCTTGTGTAACTTAATGGAGGGCTTTTTTTGTAGTGTAGGTGGGTTTGGTGTTATTCAGGGTGTGGGGATGCATGAAAGGCAGAGAGAAACCGAAGTTCTACACACATCTGTGGGTTTGCACGTGTGCATGCATGAGTGACAGTCATGGATGGGGGCCCGCACTGCGTTTCTTATTGACACCAACAGTAGGCACACATACTGTATTAGCTTCTGTAACTAAATGATTCAGCTGTTCTTCTCCGCACCAATCACCCTACCCCTGCACAGCTCAGAGGACAGTGCCTTCAGTTTAGATATGCTGTTCACACTCCTGCTTTAAAAGGCTCAGCAGAGCCCAAAATAGACAAGTGGCGCTGCCTTGAAAAGAGAGGATGCACGCAAAAAGGTTGAGGTTAGTTCAGCTTGTGTTCATTGAATCAAGGTGAAAGTATTTTGGGTTGTTTGTTTTTTTTCATTATTAGGAGGAAACTGGTTGCAGTTTTTGTTTTCAGGAGCAAAAAAGTGGTTATTTTAGAGAATTTAGAGATTGAAGAATATTAAATAAAAATTGCTCTTTTAATGGATTTTAATGCAAAAGAGACCTGACCTCAGCCTCCGTGAGTACAGCACAGAAACAAAGAGAAATGCTTCAAATGACATTGTAACCACATCTGGGACATCAACCCTTCCCAAATACATACTTCATTAACTGATTCCCAATTATAAGCGTCATACTGTATGTACTAACATTGAAATGGACATCATGTATAGTGTTTTTGCTCTTACTAAGTGACTCTGTTGCTATTTATTTATAAATGTAGAGTTTCCATTCAGATTTCTGTGTTGGAAGTGTATATTTTTGTGATGTTGAAATTATTCAGAATTAACATTAATCACATGTTTGTTTCTTCTTGATTTGTGGTGGTTCTCTGATGCAGACTGTACACCAGGACCAACTGAAATATGTGTATTTCTAGTCTTTCATCTTAAAGGCTTTTTTTTTTCTTGATTTCTTTCTTCTATAAATGGATCTAGCTTGTTTCAAAATTTGTACTTTTTGTTCTTTATTTTCTATGTAATCTTCGGAGGTGTGAGATGGGACCCTTGTTTCTGTGTTTGTGATGATGTGATGCATCTGCAGGTGTTTGAAAAAAGGCGTGCTTGAGTTTACCGGCGTTTAATTCTTCGGGGGGAAAGCCATTCTTTGGGGACGGCGTTTGAAAAATCTAAATTTAAGAGCAAATTTGGATCATTTTTAATTTTATTTTTGTTTGGAGGGGGGGGGGGCTAATGCTAATGCTAATGCAAGCCACAAGCTCGCACACGCATGGAAACACACACTGGTGCGCGCGCGTATGTCTCTTGTGGTTGGTGTTCCCAGTGAGGGCATTTGCTATTCTGTTTCAGGGTCATAGTCTTCATTTTTGAAGATGCGGGGGAGTCCCCATCCCACCATCCCACCCCACCCTCCCCCACCCCGTGCTATCGTCCACCATTTCACAGGCCCTCACCAGCCGCGGCGCCATGGTCTGCTTCAAAGCCTCAAATTAATGGCCAACAAAATAGTGTGTCTCTGACCGTCCCATGCGGGGCCGACCCACTAAGAGTTATCATTAAAGTGAAGCAATAATGAAAAAAACGAAGGAAGGAAGGAAAAAAGAAGAAGAAGAGCCGGGGAAGGAAGCGAACGAGGAAGCGCGGAGGTGGGGGGTGCCGAGGGGGGGGGTTAAATCCCAGGCAGTTTGACAACAAACCTCATCTGGTAATGACCCTCAGTGATTGTGTTTTTACCCAGTCAGCGTGCACAGTGTGTGTCTGTGCGTGTCTGCATGTTCAGCCTACCTATGTGCTCTCTCTGTCTCTCCTGCCCCCCTCCCTCCTTCTCTCTACCTCTCCTGCCACCTTTTCCTCCTCCTCCCTGTCCTCCCCTCCCTTCCCTCCCCTCCCAGCCTGTCAGATGAGCGGAGCGGTAGCTAGCGAGTGAGCGGTGGAAGGCAGCGTGGCGGCGGCTTCTATTTGAAGTTGTAATGGTGTCAAAAAGTCAGGGCTGACTGACAGACGTCAGTCCCACAGGGCCTCATTAAAAACAGACCCACTTGACAAGGAAATAATTGAGCGCCGGCGACAACTCGGGGGCCCCTCCGCGTTTTTAGATGTTTTTATTTTCTTTTCATTATTAGCGCCGAGCTATTATGTTCATTAAGAAATGGCATTAAAACAAGTTTTTTTCTTCTTTTTTTTAAAAAAAAAAACGGGCGAGGGAGGGAGCAGGGAAGGAAGACAGGATGCATGGAGGTGGGAGATAACGATTTGTTTAGAGCCCCGGTTCTGTTTTATTATTTAAACAGGAGCGCTGTCATGTGATACCTTGGCAGACGTTGGCTATCATCTCTCCCTTCTTTCTCCTTTCCTCCCTCTCTTTCTTTCCCCCCCTCCTTCTCTCCTCTGTACTCATCCCTTACTTTTCCCCAAGCTTTTATCTTCCCCTCCTCGGTCCGTCTACATCTCTTTCTCCACCTGCTCTCTCTCTATCCCCTTTTCTTTCTCTCCCCGTTGAGCGGCGGGTGTCATTGGAATATGAACTAGATTATTCATCAGTGCCCCCACCACCCACTACCGCCCCACTACCACTCCCTCCAATCGCTGATTTGGTTTTCGACAAGCGTCTCACCGCAGAAGGCTGAGGATGAAAACTTGTCAAAAATAGGTTATATCTTATTCCAAGGGGCAACAATAGCAGCAGGTACAGACACCATTTAATATTTAATTTAGGCGGGTGGTAACCCTCCTTAAGTGACTGGAGCTGCGTCTTCCATACAAACGCCAGGAGAAAAGGAGGGGTGGGTGAGCAAGAGGGGAGAGCAATTAATTATTTGATGTCTGAAAAGTGATTTTTGAAGCTCTCGCTGCCTTCTCCTGTTTGCCAGGGGGGGAAAAAAGGGATCGAGTCTTTGGGTGTCCCGGTTCGCTTTCCACACACGTTCCTTATCTTGGTCGCCCCCCCGAGAGCCGAAACATTTCCACTCGTATCACGTTACATCCACATGATAATTGTTCATATAGTAAAAGGTTTTCAGTCTCTTTATGTTATCAGTGGAAATTATGAAATCTTCTACCACCACCATCTTTGCGACATCTCGCTAACGTTCCCAGTCATTCCTATCCTCACCGGTCCTCTCTATCCTCTCTACGTGGTTTTACATAGAAATTATAAAAGGAAGGTTCCTCAACAAGGAACCTGTGTGATGCACCAACCATTGCAAAAGCCCGATGTTTGTCAGCCATTTAAGACGACAAGGGATTGTGACAAGCGTCTTTTGAGCTGCCTGTCCCCCCAGCGGAGGGCGGGCCTTAAACGGCACAAACAGCGCCAGTGGTGGGATCGCAACAGGAGGGTGGGCGCTTCGTCTTCAGGAGTGTCCACGATGCTGTCACCCACTGCACACGCAGACACAGACACACACAAACACACATTCATGTACATTGAGAGAGGCCCAGCAAGAACAGCTAGCCAAGAAAAAGAAGAATGGGGGGGGGGATCACAATGGCACTGTTTGAGGAGTACAATGAATATTCTTCTGTTTGATTCAGCAGACGTGGACGCATATGCGCACGCACACACACTGCTGCACGTATGGTCCCAATAAAGACAGGCACACACGCTCTAGTGTGGAGCTGTTAGAAGAGGAGCCATGGTCTCCATTTGTACATGCCACCAGTTCCAGCAGAATGGCTTTCTTTCTCTCATCAGCCCATTATCTATCTGTTTTTTCGCCCCATCAGCGCTGTCAACCGTTTTATTAGTGTTTGTGCTCACAATGAAATGACAAAGGCCCCCATTATTTGAGGAAGTCGCAGGGGCTGCAGCCATACATGCATGCACGGATGTCCGTGTGCTCGTGGCCGGTGTTAAGAGGTGATGCCGAATCGTCCACATGCGCATGTAACCGTCTCGAGTTATCGCGTTCCCTTCAGTTCAGCCAATTGAGACTCCGGGCTGATCCTGACTTGTGAAGCTGACTTTTTTTTTTGTGATCTCTGTCAGTGCCTGTGTTTGACATCTGTGATTAAAGCGGCTCTGGATCTTTGTAACCTAGATGCTGTGTCGTAACTTGCACACAAACACTTGGTGGGGTCTCCGACTGACTCCGCGGGAACGAGTAAGGAGGTACGGGAAAAACAAGAGCTGACATTTACAAACCGAATGTGGCGCTGTGTGCTTCCTTTCGTATTTTAAAGGTGAAGCAAGCCGTGTGCTGAAAATCCTCTTAAGACATTGTGTCGTGGAGGAAACAGAGATGCAGAGCCAGACCAGCTTTCCCCCACCACCACCAGACCCTATCCCTGCCTCCTTACTCTTCCTTCCCTCTATCTCCATCACATCTTTCCCGGTAGAAACACAACCTTTGAACTGAAATTAACACTTTCCACTACAAAGACAGCGGTAATCTTCAACGTCATTTGCATGACAATGAGGTTATGTAGATAATAGAGCTGTCAGTGGATCTTTTTCCCCCCACTTTTTATTCTTTTGGTCCCTTTAACTGCCTCATCAGTATGCTACAATGTGTCCAAGCAGATATTTTATGACATGCTGGAGATTATTCTATTTATGTTTTTTGTTAAATGGATTCCTATCATTGCAATTGAGCAGTGAGAATGAGCGCATTCTGTGACTGCTGTGCGTTTGTCTTGTATGGTTTTCTCCCGTGTTGCCGTCCATTTTAAAAAGACAAATGATAGAAAGAGAAAGAGAAAAGTGGGAATGAGTGCAAAGCAGCCCAGGTTGCCTGGGAGGCACTCAGTGGCC